GAAGAGAAGAGAAGAGAAGAGAAGAGAAGAGAAGAGAAGAGAAGAGACAACACATTTTACACACAGTATCATCCATAATTCTAGTCCAAAGACCTCTTCTGGCCTGAGCAAGAAGAACCTGGTACATACACAGCATACACATACACATGTAAACAAAACATTCTCACACAGTAAATCTTAAAAAAAAAAAAAAAAAGAAAAAAATGGATGGATAGATGGTTAGTTATAAGCAAATCTTAAAGAAAAAGGATAGGAAGAAAAAGAGAAAGATGGGGGGGAGGATACAGGACTAGCAGAATGATTCAGTGGATAAAGGCACCTTACTGAAGTCTGGCCACCTGAATTCAATCCACAAGACCCAAAAGTCAGAAGAGAACTGTCTCACGAAGAGTCAGTTCTAACTATACACACACACAATTAAATTAATAAATAAATATTAGAAATAAATAAGGAGGAGTGATAAAGTTCACCATGGAGAGGGAGAAGAGCATAGCAGCACGCTGTGTCAGGAAGCAGAGAACAGACGGGAGATGGGACTAGACTACAAAACCTCAAGGCTTCCCACAGTAATCTACTTCCTCTAGTGAGGCTCCAAAAATGTCCACACCCTTCCAAAATAGCGCCACCAGCTACAGGACAAAGGATTCAACCACATGAACTTAGAGGAAAGATTTCACTTTCAAACCACAACACAGGTCTTTTACCATCCTGGACCACATTCTTTTTTCCCCCTTTATTTATGTGGGTGTGGAGGTAATGAGCATGCTAAGGTACATGGAGGTCAGAGGACAGTTTGCAAGAGTCAGTTCTTCCCTCCCACTACGTAGGTTCCAGTTATTCAACTAAGGCTGGCACATGTGACAGCAAGTCCCTTTACCCACTGAGCCATCTTACTGCCCCCACCTTTAATTAAAGATCGATTTTATTTGAGGGCTGGAGATGGCTCAGTGGGTAAGAGTACTTGCTGTTCTTCCAGAGGACCCATTTGGTTTCAAACACCCACATCAGACATCTCACAAACACTTGTAAAATGCAGCTCCAAGGACCTCTTCTGGCCTCTGTAGGAACCCACAAAACACAGGCTCACACAAACACACATGCATACATAAGGAAATATAAAAATAAATCTTAACATTCATACAAAAATGAAAATCATGATTTATGGGTGCTAGGATCCTTACTACTGTGGGTACTCTGAATGGGCAGCAACTCCTCATTTACTTAATCACTAAGCCATTTCTCCAGTCCCTGGAGACTACACTTTTAAAGGTTGAGAATTAACAAGTAGGACTGTCCTGAAATAAAATATCTGAGCAAAGCACCATATACAATGATATAGAGACCTTCCTGAGAACATTTGCTGTGTCCTGGGTTGTATTCTATACCTGTTTCTGGGAAGCACATTACTATGGCCCAATTAATAGCAAGTTAGACTGAAGAGAGCTGTTCTTCCCTTAGGCCATGCTATTATTTTAGGGCATTCCATCTAAAAGGAGGGAACAAAAGTAAAAGGAAACCAGGAATCTATACCTACAAGGTAAAGAAAAATAAATCAGAAGTAATATAAAATATAGGAACAATGAAACCTGAACAAAAAAGATGGGATAATCAAGCAAAAAGGCCCAGTGAAGTAGAAAGGGAATAGTTCAGGGGGTAGAAAACTATAAATCTGACCGAAGCAATAATTTTTTTTGTATTTGTAAACAAATTTTTAAGCAGCATGTCTTTATAGAACCCTTGTTTGTTTACAGTAAAAGCTATTATTTCTAAAAGATACCTGAGGTACTGAAGTAGTGAGAGAAAGAGAGAGAGAGGAAGGGAGGGAGGGAGGGAGGGGTGAGGGAGTGAGGGAAGGAAGGAGGAAGGAAGGAGGGAGGGAGGGAGGGAGGGAGGGAGGGAGGGAGGGAGGGAGGACTGTATCTTTGGCCTCTGAGTAGCAACCACAGAAGATAACCACAGTCCAGTAGCCCCAAACTCCCTTGAGCAATGCTCACCTGCAGAGGGCCTCCTCCAACCCACTTCTGCTACAATCAGTACTTCTGGCCCCCAATTGCACACACAAGAATGAAAGATTAACAAACAGCACACAGTCATTATCCATGGCCATGCTTGCACAGGGATTTGCCAGTTCTGTTCCAGCAGCCCCTAATCTCTGACTTTCAAAGCTCAACCCTTTTATGAATCTTGCTATTTTTTTTTTTTTTTTTTTTTTTAGCCTTGATCAAACAACTACAGTCTTGCAGTTCTAACAAGACTCCTTCCACTCACAAAGACACCTAACCCTGACTGGAATAATAAATTTGGATATTGTGTTGCTCCAACATCTCATAGCATAAAAATGCAGCCAGATCACAAAGTAGTCCAGCAAAATCCCACCACGGTGTCAGAATGGCTGGCATTTCACATCATGGGTAGCTAGTAACTTAATGACAGATATAATATGTGGCACAAAAATTGAAATTCAATCCAGGCAGTCTCCAGCCTGCCTGGAGGAAGGTCCTAAGAATACAACAGATGTGCAAATTCTTGCCTTTGAATATTCTGGGTACTAAAAGCATTTCTCCTTCCTCAGCCGAAACTGTCTCCAGTTTTCCTTTCCTCTTTCCCTTAGAACCAACCCAGCAGAAATTATCAAGGGGCAGTAATTAATGTTTTCTTTTCTCCATGCTAATGAGACAGTTGGATGGTTCCCCTTCCCCCTCTAGAGCTAGAAAGAGAAGCTAAGTCTTTATAATCAGAAACCAACAAACCAAAGTACATGCCAGCTCTGTACAAATGAGACCATGTAGAAGAAAGCTTTTCTATCCTTGACTAGAGCAGCACTGGAAGGACTACACCTTCCACAGGAGAGGTCAGACCACACCTGGAAGGGGATCCGTCTAAAATCAAAGGAAAGTCAATGGCAAAGCCACAATGAACCTCCTTATTCCCAACCAGTGTGCTTTCCACATTACCCAGACTTACTGCAATGTGGAATCAGTGTGGGGTCCCCTCAATGTGGAGGCTAGGATTGTCAGTTTCAAGTTCATGTCAGTTTTGAACCAGCAATAACAATGCTTCAGAAACTTAGGCCTGGGATGAAGGACCAAGATCTGAAACAATAATTTTAATACCCCTGCCCCCCCCCCCAATTATCTCAAGAGAACAGGACAGTTTTACAAAAAAAAAAAAAAACAAAAAACAAAAAGAGAACATGTGGATTTTAGTTGAGATTCAGCTCATTTATATGAAGGGGAAGATTCTAAAGAAGAAGGAACCTCAGGCATAATAAGAACCTAAAAGTGTCTATACTTAGAAGCTCAGGCTGTTAACAGATGACAAAACTACCAGAAGCTTC